CCGTCTCTACAACAAACTAAAAAATTAGCCAGGCATGGTGGCACACGCCTGTAGTTCCAGCTACTTGGAAGGCTGAGGCAGAAGGATCACCTGAGTTCAGCAGGTCAAGACTAATGGCTGTGAGCTTGCCACTGTACTCCAGCCTGGGCAACAGAGTGAGACTCCAACTCGAAAAGAAAAGAAAAGAAAAGAAAAGAAAGGTATCAAGTCAACAATCCATGCTTCCATGATGACAAACTAGAAAAAGAATGAAATAAAAACCAAAGCAAGCATTAAAAAAGAAATAATAAAGATATCAATGAAACTGAAAGCAAAAAAAAATTGAAAAAAAAAAAAATTCAGGGACACCAAAATCTAGTTCTTTGAAAAGATAAAACTGATAAAACTCTAGCCAGAAAGACCAAGAAAAAGACAAAAGGCACAAATTATCAATATCAGGAATGAAAGAGGAGACATTAATAGATTCCACAGATACAAAGAGACTATGGCAAACGACTCTACGCACATAAACTTGACAACTTGGATAAAATATACCAGTTCCTGTTTTAAAAAATTATTTAAAGAAAAATATTTTTAAAGACAGGGTCTCCTTCTGTTACCCAGGCCGGGCAATCATAGCTCACTGCAACCTCAAACTCCTGAGTTCAAGAAATCCTCCTGCCTCAGTCTCCCAAGTAGCTGAGACTACAAGTTTGCCCTATCATACCCAGCTAATTTTTTATAGAAATGAGGTCTCACTATACTGCCCAGGCTAGTCTCGAACTCCTGGTCTCCAGCGATCCTCCTGCCTTGACCTCCCAAAGCACTTGGATTACAGGTATAAGCCACTGTGCCTAGCTTTAAAGCACCAATTTCTTAAAAGTCACAAACTACCAAACTTGTTGCTCAAGAAGAATAGACAAAGTGAATACTCTTACATCTATTAAAGAAATCAAAATCTTAAATGCCTATATAAAGACTTGTAAGCAACAGTCCTGGAATTATTTCAAATAAAAACAATCTTACTGGATCTACAGATAAAAACTCAGTTTAAAGACTTTTCCTCTGGTGGTTTTTTTTGAGAAACTCACCAATAGCGGGACTTTCTGCTACGAATCTTCCTTTTTCCTTTTCTTCTTGTTAATAAACTGTTTTTTAAAAAAGACTTTTCCTCTTTTAATATATACTTGTATTCATTTGATGGCTCTATAATTTTAAAATTTTGTTAACTTGTTTGCTACAAAATATATGCATTTCTATGGCTAGGAATAGAAAACATAATGGGCTGTATTCAACCCAGTTTATCAATAGTTATTGATCTCTCAGTGTGGACACTGTGGCCAATCTTACACAAACTTTACTCAAAGTAAATCAAAGACATTGCTTTGTATTTACATCAAGTGAATTGTTAACTATACAAGAAGTAGGGTATTACTTGAATAACTACTTATGACATATGTGCTAGTGGTTCAATCCTACAAAGCAGGACATTTCATACAACTTAAGTGATCCTTAAAAGTTGTGTCAAATCCAAGTATCTACTACTTAGGAAATACACTGAAGAGTGCTAGAGAAGTATTTTACATGAGATTGAGTCATAAGAAATCACCAGTTACCAAATGGTTCAACCTAGAACAACATAAGCATTGCATTTCTTGTTATATATATGATTCACAATTCTCAAGAGTGGTTAATTTCAAACAGAATGAATTACCTTGGATGTTGAGAACTGAGGTTCACTCAACATTTACCAAACATATTCTGGAGATTTTTCACAACAAAGTTTTTGCAAGTCCAGGATCTCAACATTTACTAGGAAAGGAATACTTAACATGGCTACAGGCCTTTGTTCTACTTTTCAAAAGTCTGCTATTTTCAACTATTAACAAAAAACAAAAAAAAACCTTGTTATCCGAAGCATCGATTCACTATAGAATAAGGATTAAGATCCATCAAGGCTTAAAACGTTATAGAGAGAAGGCAACATTTCTAAGATCATCTCATTCCTTTGTTTGAAACCCTTTCATGTCTTCCTACCTCACTGAGTCAAAGCCCTACAGGCCATTTCCCACTACTCTTTTCCCTCCTCTACTTCAGCAACATTGAGCTCCTTGCTGATACTCAAACATGCAAGTACAATCTTCCTCAATAACCAGGATATGTTCTGAGAAACGTGTCATTAGGCATTTCCCTGTGTGTGAACATCATAGAGTGTCCTTACACAAACCTAAGTGGTCTAGCCTACTATACACCTAGGCAATATGGTATAGCCTTATTGCTCCTAGGCTACCTGCATGTACTGAATACCGTAGGCAATGTAACACAGCAATAAGTATCTAAACAAAGAAAAGACAAAGAAGAAATACAGTATTATCATCTTATGGGATCACCATTGTAGATGGATGACTGTACACTACTCCTCAGGGCTTGTGTCAAGTACTTCCCTCTACCAGGAATGCTCTTCTCAAATACAGCTCACCTCCTCATCTCCGTCAGCTATCTGCTTAGAGGTCGTTTTCTCAAAATGGCCTCGTCTGACCAATTTACTAAAACAGTACCCTACTACATGCCAATGTTACTTTCTTCCTAGTTTGTCTGTCTCCCCCCAGTGTAATATTGGAGAGGAGAGAGACCTTAATTCTATTTACCGCTCTACCTCCAGAGTCTAGAGCATTCGCACAACAGGATGCTGCACAAAGACAATATAGAGTATGTGCCTCCAATTAAAACTTCGGTCACAGATCCCCAAAAAGCCAAGGAAACAGTTTGAAACTCCGCACGCTCTGCTACTGAGAATGAAACAACTATCCTTTATAAGAAAATATTTTATTTTCAAAAAACATATATCCTAACAGACGGCTGGTTTCCCTGAAGACAAAACGCGCGTGATAAGAGCACGCCTGCTGCAATTCTGCGGGCACCGGACGTTCTGGCTCATTCCACAAGACGTAGGCTAAGCCGCTGTCCCAAGAACCTAGAAATCCTGGCTGAAGACTCCGAAGGGAAAACAGGGCGGAGTTAGCTTACGAATGATATGCAGTGATGAGGAAGTCCACAACACACCCGTCCAAACTTCACAGCACACAGCAAGATACCAGAAATCAGAATCGTGAGTGCCTGCCCTCTACAGACACCGCGAGGAAAAAAGTCCTGAAGAACTGCCCGGGCGCCCCCCCCCCCGCGCCCCCCCGCTTTCTGAACGCCGGGCTGGGTTGAGGACGCAGCCGAGAGGTGCAGGGGGCGTGCGGGGCATGGAGGTCAGGACTGCGGGCAAGGTGGGGTATGGTGCGCCCAGGCCACCCGCCTCTCCACCGATTTCCTTCCCGCAGAAAGAGGTAAGCCGCCTGCGCCCATTCGCCCCCGCGACGCCTAGGGGCTGATGAAGGCGGACCCTCCCCTCTGTCGAGCCCGCCCAGGCCCAGCGCGCCCCACCCCCAGCTCACCCGGCTCGCGGTTGATCTCGATGTCGAAGTGGCACTGCGGCCGGTCCTGCGCCCCCATCGCGACCGAGGTGGCGGCAAGAGCTGTGGGAGAGGAGGAGGAAAGCAGTCAGCGCGGGGGCAGGGCGGCGCTGGGGCGAAGTCCGCCCCACGCTCGCCTCGCGCCAGCCTGTCGCGACAGCGCGGGCGGCCACCACGGGACCCCTCCCACTCCGGGCCTCCGGTTCCCATGCAGCGCGCACAAGTGCAGAAGAGCTCTTCACCTGGCTGGCCTCCAGCCTGAGCGGATCCCGGCGGGCAGAGAAGGAGCCACCACCGCAGCCAGAACTCAACCCCACTAACGGAACGCCACCTCCTCCTCCAGCCCGGCCTCCCAGTGCCACGCTAAACCCCGCGAGAGTCGGCACAAACACCGCGAGAACACAGTCTAGACCCGGGTGGTTAACCGGGGCGACGGAGACGAGCAAGCCTGGGCGTGTCTGGGAGCTCGAGTCTCCAGCCGGCGCTCCTATACCTGCGCGGTCCTTCGGCCCCGCCCTCTTGAGTCAGTCACCCAATCTGGGAGCCGTGGGTGCGCCTGCGCTCTCGACTCCATGTCTCCTGTGGCGTTGTGGGCATCTATGCAGGTCCCGGTATCGCGAGACCTCCTTCTTTTCGTGCGCTGAGAACGAACTAGTGATTTAGCTCTTTCAAGTTGTTAGTCTAGGTGACGACTTCGTCTGCTTTCTTTATGGTGGAGAGTAGTTATGACCGTGTCCTACTGTTGGGACTTTTAGACTGAGGAGTGTTTTGGTGCTCGTATTGGCGCTAGCGACAACAGTTTCTAATTTTAGTGAAGTCTCTTGATCCACGTTTCCTTTATGGTTTGTGCTTTTTCCGTGCCAGGAAATCTTTGCCACCTCAAGTTCGTGAAGATTTCTCTTCTGTTCTCATGTATCAGTTTTATGATTGTACCTTCTATGTGTAGGTCCGTGGTCTGTTGGAATTGGTTTTTGTTTGTTTCTGGTGTCAGGGAGGAGCTGAAGTTCACATTTTCCTCCAGAGATATACAGTAGTTCATTACTATTGTGTTGAAAAGACGCTCTTTTATCCACTGAATTGCCTAGGCTTTGTAACCGTATTTGTGTGGGTCTACTTCTGGACTCTTTAGTTTTGTTGATCTGTGATCTTTGTATCAGTGCCACACGGTTTTTTTTTCCCAGGTTATTTTTAAACTTGTGACAAAATCTACATTATATAAAATTTACCAATTTAACCATTTTTAAGTGTATAGTTCGGTGCCTTTAAGTGCGTCCACACTGTTGTGCAGCCATCACTACCATCCATCCACAGAATTTTTTCTGTCTTACAAAACTGAAACTGTACCTATAAACGATAACCCCCATCTCCCCCTGACTCTCAGATCCTGGCAACTGCCCTTCTACTTTCTGTCTCTATGAATTTGTCTACTCTAAGTTCTTCATATGAGTGGATTCATTCATTTTTTGTCCTGTGACTGGCCGACTTGACTTAGTATGGTATCTTTAAATTTCATCCATGTTGTAGCATGTGTCAAAATTTCCTCCTTTTTTGAGGCTGAATAATAAATATTCCACTGTATGTGTAACCACAATTTGTCTACCATTCATCCCTTAATGGACACCTAGATTGCCTCTACCTTTTGACTACTGTGAATGGTACTGTTATGGACATGAGTGTACAAATATCTCTTTTGAGACGCCGTTTTCAGTTCTTTTGGATATATACCCAGAAGTGGAATCACCAGATCATAAGCTAATTCCATTTTTTGCTTTTTCGGGAACTGTCATATTGTTTTCCATAGTGGCTGCACTATTTTACTTTCCCATTAACAGGCACAAGGGTTCCAAATCTCCATGTCCTTACCAACACTTGTTATTTTCCTTATTTTTTTTTAACAGTCACCACCCTAATGTATGTGAAGTGGCACACTTTTTATTACTGTAGCTTTATAGTAAATTTTGAAATCAGGTTCACTTAGATCATTTCTAACTTACTTCTGCACCTGTGCCACGTGTATAAAGTACATTCAGACCTTTGGCACCTCCACCCAACCACACAAGTACAATCCCTGGTCAGAGTTCAGTACCTCCTTCAGAGGAACAGTCTCTTGGATTTAACATGTATAACCTAGACTGAATTGAGAAGCTAGAGGTACTGGGTCTAATTTTTCTGACAATTGTAGGTTTGAAAATTATGAAATGTACATGCCTTTTTGGAGATGAAATGAGTTGGTGAAGCTAACTTTCATACATAGGTTGGTGAAAGGAGAGGATGGGGAGCATTGCTCATCTTTGTAATTACTGTGTTTGAAACAGCAGGCTTCAATGTAGGTTTTAGAGCTAAAGAATAAAATAATTTGCTGGGTGCAGTGGCTCACACCTATAATCCTAGCACTTTGGGAGGCCGAGGTGAGAGGATTGCCTGAGCCCATGGGTTCAGGACCAGCATGGTCAACTTGGCAAGATCTCAGCTCTACAATAAATAAAAAAATTAGCCAGGCATGGTAGTGCACAACTGTAGTTCCAGCTACTTGGAAGATTAAGGTGGAAGGATCACCTTAGCACAGCAGGTGTAGGCTGCGATGGTCATCAGCATGCCACTGCACTCCAACCTGGGTGACAAAGTGAGACTCTGACTCAAAAAAAAACCAACAACAACAATGAAATAATTTGGGGTGTACTTAAAGTACTTTAAATCTCTAGGAATTCATTCTTATCTTGACACTCCAATAAAATCCCCTAAGCCGAGCTCAGTGGTTCATTTTATTTATTTCTCTAAGAAAATAAATTTTAAAATGGATATTGGGTGAAAGAAATGTGGGGAAGAATCTTGTTAATTGTTGTCTCTAGGTAATAGGTATATGGAGATTCATTGAGTTAATGTTTTCTACTTTTGTGTGTCTTTAAAATTTTTCATAATAAAATCATTAAGAATAAGCATAGTCTTTCTTTTCCAAAAGACACAAAGTCCATATTGTTTTGTAGGCATTTTTTTCAGATCCTCAAGGAACAATAATTCCTTTCTCAATATTCCAGAAAATAGAAAAAGAGAGAAAGCTACCTAACTTACTTTGTGATATCAAGATCAAACAAAGACAATGTAAGAAAGATGAAAACACGGGTTCGAGACCCGCCTGGGCAACTTGGCAAGACCTCATCTCTACAATAAATCAAAAAATTAGCCGGGTATGGTAGCATGCGCCTGTAGGTCCAGCTACTTGGAAGGCTGAGGCGGAAGGATTGCCGGAGCCCAGCAGGTCGAGGCTGTGGTGGCCAGGAGCAGCCACTGCACTCCAGTCTGGGCGACAGAGTGAGACTCCAACTCAAAAAATAAAGAAAGATAAAAACAGTCTTACTATAAACATGGATTTAAAATTCAATAATCCCAGCACTTTGGGAGGCCAAGGTAAGAGGACCGCCTGAGTCCACAGGTTCAAGAACAGCCTGGGCAACTTGGCGAGACCTCATCTCTAAGTAAACTAAAAAATTAGCTGGGTGTGGCGGTATGTGCCTGTAGTTTCAGTTACTTGGAAGGCTGAGTCAGAAAGATTGCCTGAGCCTAGCAGGTCAAGGCTACAGTGGCTGTGAACATGCCACTGCACTCCACCCTGGGCAACAAAGTGAGGCTCCAACTCAAAAAAAAATAAATAAATAAATAAATTCAAGTAAAATATTAGAAAATGGAGTTTAGTGGTATTTAAACCCCAAAATGTTCATGATCTAATTGGCTTTAACTCAGAAATGCAAAGATGGTTCAATATCAGTACATTTATTCCTATAATTCACCAGATTAACATTAAAGAAAATGTACATGATTACCCCAATATATAGAATATATGTATCTATTTATTGCCTCTCAGCTTTCAGTGCACCCTTCAATATATCCTCTGTAATACACAATTCAGCTTTAAGAAGAATCCCTGTTCCAACCTTCCCCATAAAGTGACTTTTACATTTTTATAACCTGGGGGAGTGAGAAAAGAGGTGAATGAAAGGCAAGAAAAGGAATAGAGTGAGAATATATATATATGATACCTACCTTATTCCTTATACCATTTTAAAAATAAAAGGATATCCTAGATCTTAAACAGGAAATTGTGCAGAAAGGCCTATTTATATACTTGGCAAGACTACTATGTTTAGAAAGGTCAGATGGCAGGTTGGCCCTTGACCAGAGTCTACGAACTTGAGTGGCAGTAGTTCCCTGCACTTATGTAAATCTTTCCCTAAATGTTAAGAGTGGCTCCTTATGCCTAAACTATTTGTGCAAACAATATAGTTTATGCTCATTAACTGCTTTCCTTCTAGGAGTCTGAAATTTTGGTATGTGGTAGGCAGTGGGTGCATATGTGACCAGCTCCAAAGAAAATCCTTGGCACTGAATCTGATGAACTTCCCTGGTAGACATTTTAACATGTGTTGTCACAATTCATGTCCTGTATGACTCCACTGGGAGAGAATTCTTAGAAGCTTGTGCCTGATTTCCTCTGCCATGTGCCGTTTCACTTTGCTGGTTTTGCTTTGCATCCTCTTGTAATAAATTATAGCTATGATTAAATATGAGTTCTGTGAATTCTCCTAGTGAACCATCAAACCTGGAGGTGACCTGGGGGACCCACATCACAGAAACCCTTTACCCCTTCTGCCATGTGAATTTACAGTGAAACGAGGACTGTCTATGAATTAGAAAGTTGACTCTCAATGGACATCAAATTTGCTGCAGAACTCAGAGAAATACAGTTCTGTTTTTTTAAGCATCATAATTTAGTTTAAAATATATTTTTATACATAGATATACCAAATATTTGAAAACATATTTTTTGAAACCCTAGATTTTTTTGTGGAAAATAAGTAGAATATTTCATGGGGTATAGATAATGATGTATTTTGATAGAATAACATCCTCATGCTATTTGTCAAGATCAGATGGACTTTCTCCATGAAAGCAGAGGATATGGCCATGGCAGCTTCAGGCACGCATCCTTATAGCCTAGCAATCTGAGGGGAAGGTGTTTTTCCTGCCAGAGCCAGTAAGAAGAATCATAGGGAAAGATTCTGATTGGCTTGATTAGGTTATTTGCCCATCCATAGATCAATCTGGTGGCCAGATTGATACTATGAATGATCAATGTAGGGTGGAGCCAGTAACCAGGAGAAGGACATAAAAGTGTGGTGACATGAAAGTGTGGCAGCACACAGATGGCCACCAAGGCAATGGTCTTGAGCCAAGAAGCCATTTCAATTGTGAATACTACATGCATCTTTTAGCTTTTAGGTTAATGACCTCCTACCACTAACTTGTTTTAGAACATAGCTGTATTTTCACAAATGTATGCTACTACATTCTCTT